TTGGAACTTTTAACACATACTTCTATGGGCAAAGAAAGAAATAAGTCTACAAATGCTGATTCATTCCCAAGCTCATCTACAGAAGCCTGTTTAGCTTATAGTGTGCCTAAAATTGTTAATTTTTAATCATATTAAGTTACCCTTCATAACTGTAATACAAAATGCTTTCAGAGCTCTAGCTTCAGAGCCCCTACTTCATCACTCTCCTAAAATAATGCATCTTCCTATGTCCAAGGTACTTGTTTCCTTTCTGTATCAGTCTAAAAGAGAATACAAGCCCTCACAACCTCACCTACATGTAGGGCACGGGAGAAGCAGCCTGGTGTAAAACAACAGATGTGTACTGGCAACATGGAGGACATCTGCCAAATTGCTATGCCTTTTAGAATACAGCACAGGCCTCACAAAATGACTAAAGACAGGAAGGTCTGCAATCCCTTTCTAGAGCCATCCATCTCTAGGTGTTCTGGGTTGGGAAGTGGGGGGAGCAGAGAAAGGGAAATTTCCCCCGCAAGCCATAGGGCCCAAGATTCAGACTCTTCTGCCACTCTCTTAATAGGTTCATGTCGTTTCGAACCTAGAAAGTATTCAGACTGTGGCCTTCCTGCCTCTGAGAGTCAGCATAAGAGCACAAGCCCTGGAGTTAACCAGACATGGGTATGAATCCTAACTCCACATCGTGAATCAGTAGTTTTCTGTGCCTCTGTTCTCTACTTTCATTTATTATTTCTGAGAAAGACATAGAGACTGTGCACAAGTGGTGGAGGGCAGAGAGAGAGGGAGACCAGACCCTAAAGAAGGCTCCAGGCTCTGAGCTGTCAACACAGAGCCCAACATGGGGCTCGAACTCATGAACCATGAGATTATGACCTGAGCCAAAGTCAGATGCTTAACCTACTGAGCCACCCAGGCACCCTTCTTCTCTACTTGAGAGGGTTTGCTGTGAGGATCAAGTGACATAATGTATGAAAGCTCCTAGTTTATAGTACCTGACTCACAGTAGGCAATACTTCATAATAAAATAAAACTCCATTTGCCCCACGGAAGAGAGCCATAATTTTGATATGTGTCAACAGGTACCCAAGGCACATCTTTGAGGCTACAGCTCAGAAACCCACCACACTAGCCCCAAAATGAACATGACAGAATAAGACTGGCCATGACATAAAATAATGAGACACAAAAAATACCAAAGCAATTACTTTCACGATTTCAGTTCAGGTATCAGCACGTCATTCCCATCTCCTATCTTCATCCAACACACCTACGTCCATGACATCCACATGATGATTTCTTCTAAAGAATTTATATTTTAGTAGAATTGAAAAGAAAACATAGAACCCTTCAATATGTTACATACAATGGAAGAAAAAACAGCTATTTAGAAAACATGTATGTATTTCAGTTCCCATCATTACTATAAGGAATGAGATATGCTGCTTTCTATTTCCAAATCGTTACAGAGTTAAAGAGATATAAACTATAATCGATAGTATTAAATATTTTAAACTTGTAAGTTTGATATCAAAAATTAGATAGAAAAATGGTCTAATATCTTAAGTAGAAATATATTCATATGCAGAATAGTATATAATTGTTTTATATAATCAAACTTGCATGTAAATAACTTGTCGTTTTAAACCCCAAGTCATCAAGAAGCAGTTAAGATGGAGTCTATTGCGATACTGGTATTCAACAATGCACTTACCAAAAACATGAAGCATTTATCAATGTCAATGCTGTCGAAAATAATAATACAGAAAAACACGGGCAAAAAATGGATGGATTAAAGAAAACCAAGTTTAAGCCCCCCATTAAATTTTTTAAAACTTAGGACTTGGCATATAAGGGAGAAAACACAACTATAGTAGAAAAACAGCTATGGGGCGCCTGGGTGGCGCAGTCGGTTAAGCGTCCGACTTCAGCCAGGTCACGATCTCGCGGTCCGTGAGTTCGAGCCCCGCGTCAGGCTCTGGGCTGATGGCTCAGAGCCTGGAGCCTGTTTCCGATTCTATATCTCCCTCTCTCTGCCCCTCCCCTGTTCATGCTCTGTCTCTCTCTGTCCCAAAAATAAAGAAACGTTGAAAAAAAAAATTAAAAAAAAAAAAAAAGAAAAACAGCTATGATAGACGCTACAAAGATGTGTAAAGTTAATTGTTGTTATTGTTTTCATCTGCTCAGAAGGAAACTGTTTTCTCAACTAAAATCATGTTTTCACAAATTAGAGAGGGCAAATTTACTGAAAACATTTCTTTTATTAATATACAAGACATTTCTTTTATTAATATACAAGACAGTCTGTTTCCTGGTATGATAGAGCAATGCACTATTCTGATTTGTCTAATATCCAAGTTAATAGAGAATATTCTAAGTTGAGCTGAAAATAATTTAATATTTGATGATTTACAACCTTTCAGTGGCTCAGAGTTATGATCATGAATATCAATTATCACAATACTAAGGCTATTTGGAAACACATTTAATAGTTTGATTAACATAAAATGTACTACAGCCTTTATTTTTTATGTATGTTTTAATGCTAAATAAAAAGAACGCTTGGCCAAACTCTGAAGAATGCGTTTTTCTCTCAATATAGGATATGTGCTACATATTTATTATATGATCTAGACCGTTTTTAGAGACTCTCCTTTTTACTTTGCTAAAGTGAACAAACCATGGGGCAGCAGATTCAAGATGCCAACAGAAAGGTCCTTCCTTGATCTCAGAGATGGTGTGGAACAAACCCCACCACCTGCTTCTTTCCCCATTGGACGAGAATGAAGGCCTCTGGGAACAGACCCTAAGGACCCATGCTCACCAATGATCCACCAGGTTATTCTTGAAAATTAACTGACACATCAGAATGATTTTGGACAACCCACTAGGAATCAAAAGCACTTGAAGCAAATTTGAAAATATGAGGCCTATAAACTTCAGTTAAATTTTATTATATAAATCAAGAACGTCAATAGTTCACCACAGATATATACAGATACATATGCTTACATATGCATGGAATATTTCTGGAAGGATACTTAAGAAAGTGTTAACAGCTCTGGGGGCGGACTATGTAAGTGGGAGTGTGGAGTGGCTGGGAGTCTTCCCTTCATGCTCCTTTGCAACATTTGATTTTTTTTCTCATCTGCTTATATTTTCAATAAAACCTACTTTAAAATAATACCAATTTACTTCATTTTCTAGTACCTTTAATTATAAGAAACCATTTATTAAATGCTTATTTTACTATTAAATAGGGGAAAGATCAAGTTGATATTCTGTTACCTCCCTCTTTTGCCACAAAAATAAACCTCAAAACCAAAAAGGCACAATTACTCAGCAAGGGTCCTTCTGAGAATATAAACCAGAACATAATACAATTTAGAAACTGCAAATTAGTTGCAAGCATTTATATATTCCTTACACTCTGTTACTTTTATTTTTTACAACACTATAGAGGCCACTTCTTGTGATGGTATATTTTAAACTATCTTGTGGTGTTTGTTTTCACACACAGGGAACACATGTAGTATCAATATCTTAGAATCCAAAATGTAATTGTTTCCTAATTGTGCTGTTTTTTAAGTTTCAGAATAATATGTTTTCTGACCTGTGGGTTAAAAGAAAAAAAAAGTGATCACTTCCTTTTTATCCAAATTCACACCCGGAATGGAACACTCCTTTTCAAATCATCTAAAAGGCACAGAATAACAGAAACTACTACAAGTCATTTGCAACTACCACCCACTCTTCTTTTTATATAGAAATCTTCCTGTTGGTTTTAAACTTCCATGTGTCAGTGTTGGGGAACAGCCCAGACAATACTAGGAGCAAGGTGGATGTACTGTGGGCACAGTCTCCCCACACTGGCAAGGGGAGCTGGGGCTTGGGCATTAGGAGCTGGTTACACAGCTCAACCCTGAACAATGGTCTTGAATGCATTAGCACACCAAGTAAATTGAATAGTAAGTAGTTTCAAGTCCATCTTTCAGTCTCATCTTTGGCAACACACACACACAGTTTCATACTGACTACTCTACCAAAATCAATTTTGATCTCACATGCACATGATTACTCACGTTCGTTTATGCTGAGGCCCTTTTCCAAAGCCTAAGGGAGAGTTCTGACTTCCAGGATACGTAACCACATGTCATGCACCCAAAAGATGAAATCTCTAACAGGAGGCAAGCTCCGAGCGGAAGGAAGACAGAAAGAGATAAAGCAGGGAAAAGGCTTACAAATTTCTTGCCAAATAGATGAAGGAGAAATATTGTCTAGTGGTCGAGCGGTCAGGAAGCATTTTCCCTTCCTGCGGTGGTAACCACAAAGACCTGGGATGATGCTCGGGGTATTTATTGACTGCTTTCTGCTCGCGCTTTCTGCAGTGCAGAAACTCTGGGCTCCACCATCGCTCGCCACTTGGTCACAGGGTCCACTGAAAACTCTGCCTGTCTACCGGGAAAGTTCACGCTTCTTGGGATTTCAGGATCATTGGAATCTGGAGGGTTGTTCTTGGGGTGGGGAGGAAGCTGTTTGTTTTTTGTTTTTGTTTTTGTTTTTTCTTTCACTTGAGGGTTAACTGTGCATTTCCTTTACTGGGGGTGGGGGGTGGAGGGGGGATTAAGCTAACCTTTCTCTGGAGAGCAGTGCACAACCATCCTGTGGTTTGCATTTATATTGAATCCTCCCTTCCTCCTTCCATCAACGGTTTAGTGAAGCTTTCAGAGAAAATGAGGGAAAGCATCCATCAAAACGCAAAGACGCAGAGTGGAACTTTTCCTCTGCTGTCAGGGGGAAAAAAAAAACTCACTTCTGCTTCTCACGGCCAAGAGCTGAGTCTGGGAACCTCCGGACGAGGAAGGAAGGTTTGGTAATGAGGGAGGTGGGAGAAAACAATGCCGAGCCTGCGATGCCTCCGGACACACCGTACGTACATCCTGCCTGGATCCCCGACCCACACGCCACCCACACCCACGCTCCCCGGGCGGCGCGGCCTCGCTCACCTTGATGATGCTGCTGCGCCGGGGGGTCGCCCGCGCCGCCTCCAGGAGGCCAGCCTCGCTGTCAGCCGGGGCCCCTGCAGAGCTCGTCAGCGCGACCCCGCTGCGACGATCCCTCCACCGGCCCCCAGGGGCCACAGCCGCTCCGTCCCCGGAGGGGGCGTCCGGGCCCACTCGGGGGTCGTCTTCGCACCCGGCCGCGTCCGGCTGCGCGGGACCCTCCCTGCCCGCCGCGCCCTCGGCCATGGCCGGCGAATCGGGCTCTCGGGGGGGAGACGGCACGCCCGGCAGCGGAGTCCAGCCTCTGGGCACGAGTGCGCTCCTGCACCCGGAGGCGGCCCCGCCACACTTTGTTTCACCGCCCGGGGGCGGCGGCGGCGGCGGCGGCAACTTTCTGGAGAGGAGACATCGCTTGGGTAGAGACGTCCGCGGGCTTTGGTCCAGGAGGCCGGCAGTCCGCTGGGGTAGGGCGGCGGGAATGGGGAAGGAGATGCGAGCGGGAGGGAGAAGGAGAGGCGAAAAGGAGAGGGAGGTGTCCGAAATGTGATGCGAACGCCTGCTCTGCGCCAGACAAAAGGCCCCCCGGCGGCTGGCCGGGCGGCCTCCGAGGCCGGGACGCGCGCGGCCTGAGGGGGCCGGAGCCAGACGACCGCGGCCCGGCGCACCCGCCACCTGCCCGTGGACCGCGGCGCAGCGGCCCCAGGAAGTGCGGCGGCGGCGGCGGCGGCCTCCACTCCGCTCTGTTGTGACAGGGAGGGAAGACTTGTTTTGACAGCCCGTGGGGATTGGCAGGCGCCTGGGCCTCTGAGGAGCCTAGCGTCGCCGAGGAGGGGTCGGCCCGACCAATCCCCACTGCGAAGGGGTGTGCCCGAGCGCGAAGAATGGAAGAATGTGTTCTATAACTGGGAGCCGGCCCAGCCGAGCTCGTGTACTCGAGCGAAGGTGTGAGCGCGCGCGCGTGTGCGCACCCTCAGGCGCTCCGTGTACATTTTAGGAAGTTTAGATGTTCGAAATGAGCCTGCAGATGCAACAAAATCCGGGGCTGGGGGAGGGGGCGGGGGAAGGAAACCTTTGGCAAAACAAAGCAATTTGGAGAAAAGGAGGTGTTGAGCCCTAATGTCAAAGTGTTTGAGGTGACAGAGCGCAGCTTCGCACCATCAGGGGTTTACACCAACCCTTTGAAGTCAAATCCATGCAGACATAAACTAGGGTTTACTGAGATTTTTGAGTTGGATAATTTGCTTCAGGTTCCATAAAATGATCTTCAGTTCACTCTCCAATGTGAAAAAACACAACAAGGAAAGGGAATCAGATAAAAAGAGGTGAGGGTAATGGGAATAGAAGAGGTGAGGGTAATAGGAAACTGAACCAACTAAATCCCTTTGGAGAGCGACCCCTAGCAAAGCCACAGTTATGATATGATGGAAGTTGGCCAAGTACAAGATGAGATGGGGGATTTCGTCTCTGTCCTGAAACATCCCTATTTGATTATGGTTCAACCTTCTCTCTCTAGATAATCCTATATAAACATATTTTGCTCCTTTCCAGCAAGTTAGCAACCAAGAAGAGAGATACCTATGGATGATGCATTGTCACTGAAATTTACCACAGAATGCTCAGGTAGATGTAAAAGATGGCTCTGAGCTTCCCGAAAGGACGGAAGATGACAAGTTGATTTAAAGGCTTTTCCGTGTTAAACCTCATGTATAACATTAAATTATATTTTAATTATTAATAATTTGATAATTTGAGATACTTGTTCCTTTGTCTGGCCAAGGACATGAGAAATTCTTCAGGCTTTTAGACCCAGAATTTATTAGAATTTCAGAATTTTAGAGATGCAAGGAGATTAAGGGATCATCTAGGGCAGACTTTTCATTTTACAGATGAGACGAAGGCCCAGGAAGCTTTAGTTTCTTGTCTACTACTTAGTGCAGGAGCTGAAATTAGAATCTGCCACTTAACTCCTCCTGTAATCTCAGCTACTTTATCTGGCTCCTCTGGGGCTGCAAGCAGCCAGAACTGGATAAGGCCCCTGGGAGGTTTCAGACTTGACATCTGTCAACTTTTAGGTAACACTGAGAAAGCCCCAGTTTACCTTTTCTTTAAATATAAATGCAGCCCAGTAATGAATGTACTGTAGATTGGCAACCTCTGGTTTTAGAACCAACACCACCCTCTAGTGAGATTCTAAGAACTGCATCTGTAATGGCAAATGCTTTTTTCTTTCTTACATATAAAAGACGGGAAGGGAAACTCAAAGTTTCCTTTTCAAGTGACCTGCCTTTATTACTCAGAAAGTAAAAGGGTCCCCAGACTTAAAACAACCATACTTGTCCTTCATCTCCGTTAGTTCAGGGAATTCTTACCTTTCTTGTGCAGGAAATATTTTTACTTGCTATCCTTACAAATATAACCTATTTTAGGCTATCATTTTTTTCTTTGATATTCAACTATTACTATCTTTTATTTTTATCTTATAAAGTTACTTTCAGAGCTTAATTTTTCCTTGTTACCCTAATAAAAATTCCATTATTGGATTGTCCTCCAAGAAATGTAAACAGCAGTTATCTTACTCATTATCTTGTTTTACAATATCAGTATCATTTACAAAGATTTCCCACCCTAAAGATTTGTATATTATTCTGATAAGAATTTGGTTTTTTTTTAATTTTTTAATGTTTATTTTTGAGAGAGAGAGAGAGAGAAAGAAAGAGAACAAGTGGGGGAGGGGGAGAAAGAGAGAGAGAGACACAGAGAGAGAGACACAGAATCGGAAGCAGGCTCCAGGCTCTGAGCTGTCAGCACAGAGCCTGACATGGAGCTTGAACTCACAAGCCGTGAGATCATGACCTGAGCCGAAGTCAGATGCCCAACCTACTGAGCCATCCAGGTGCCCCAAGATTTTGTTTTTTAAGGTATTAAAATTAGTGTCACCTTACTAACATTTAAGGTCAGTAGTCTTCAAAGAAGGAAAAGGAGGAGGTGGAGGAGGAGGAGGAGCAGAAGCAGCTGCAAGAAAGTGTAGCGTGTAAGAATACAAAATTTTTTGTTTCAACTAGATGCTTCGCAGCCTTCTCTGTCACCCTCATGTGAAGGCAAACACACACACACACACACACACACACACACACGTCTCAGCCCTTTCTCCTTCTCTCTCTCTCTCTCTCT